CCCCACAGGTTCCCAAATTCCAAGGAGGGCCTCCTATGGAACCGTAAGGATTCCTAGGGGTACGACTCTTTGCCATATTCCTGAGATGGCCTCTTAGGGAACCTTAGGAACTCCGATGGATCCTACCAATTCCCAGATTCTTGAGAGGGCCTCTTAAGATCCCTCGGGATCCCTCAAGACTTGCAACACCCCTGAGGATCTTTCAACATCCGTCGAATCCACCGTGGCCCATCGGAGTGTCTTATGATTTTTCATAATCCGGAGGGACCCTGGGAGGGCCGTAAGGGCGTCGGTCCGAGTTTTGGCCGTCTTGGTGGACAGTGGGAAAGGTTACCCCAAGAACCCCTTGTAATTCTATTGCAACCATGCCACAAATGCTGCGACACGACGGGGTGAGGTGTGAACCTGCCATTTTTCTTCATTTCTTAGTGCAAGGCGTAACAATATTGCCTAATCGTGAATCGTGCACGACGATGTTGTGTGGTGTAACCGACACGAAGGCGGGGTGTGAAACTGACGTTGTCTTTGATTCTCCAATACGGATCCACTAATGTCGCTGTATAATCCAGAATGCACGAAAGTGGTGTGTAGCTAGACGCGACGATGCAATGTGACCCTACAGCAACAACTACTGCTACTACTATTATTGTTACTACTACTACTACTACTACTACTACTACTACTACTACTACTACTAGTACTAGTACTAGTACTAGTACTAGTACTAGTACTAGTACTAGTACTACTACTACTACTACTACTACTACTACTACTACTACTACTACTACTACTACTACTACTACTACTACCACTTCTATACTACTACTATTACTACTATTACTATTACAACTACACCTAATAATATTCATGCTAGCCATCATACTCGTAATTTTTCAATGAACTAATATTAGTCGTGCTAGTTAGTGCGAAGACAATTACATCTGTAAGACAAAGAAGAACAATACTGTCGCCAATGATAATTATACCATTGATAATGATAATTATACCGTTAAGCATACGTACCACACAATTTATTAATACCACTAACATTGATGATCAGGAAAGAAGGAAACAACACAATTCTAGTATTCCCACCCACATTTTTACTATTCTTAATATTATCATAACAACTACTACTACCACTACTACTTCTACTACCACTACCACTAGTACCACTACTACTTCTACCACTACGGCTACGGCTCCTCCTACTACGACTACTACTACTACTACTACTACTACTACTGCTACTGCTACTGCTACTACTATTACTACTAATACGACGACTATTCCATATATTGCTACTATTACTATTACTTCAAGTACTACTATTATTATGTTTATTATTACCACTACTACTACAAGCAGTACTGGTACTCATAATAACAATGCAAACGACAATACTCACAATACAATTAATTACGATGCCGAGGAACCCCGCATACTTACCATGTGTCTTGCGTGATAGTAGCTGACGTGGAACTTGTGAGCATGTTGCTCGTGGACGTTGCTTCGCCGACATCGAAGGCAACGCGGTTCAAGCCTTGGGGGCCTGACATGCCGTACCAACAGAGACGACTACAAAGCCAAAAAGGAGCTGAGTTTTTCAAGCGTCGCACAGGAAACGGTCCGCACGCCGCCGCTTCAACAAAAAGTCTCCGGGGGCAAGCGCTCGCATGCAGCCGCCCAAACAATGCAGCTCGGGGATCTACGCGCGAGACGAAGCCTGTCGACGGAAACTATCGGATTCGCGCGCGCGCGAAGTGGCGGGGAGGAGTGGTGGGCGCGTTCGGCATATGGCCTCCGCGAACCCCGGCGAGGCGGCAGGTGCCGCGCCCCAGTGCATTCTCGTCGCAGAATCTGTCGCCGAGAGCGCATACTGTCATGGACTGATCGAGCGCTGGTGTAGCGGTTTCTTTGCGCCCGCGCAGGTTCAGGTTGTCGCGCTGGCTTCCCTGATGATACCCGGATCTCTTCGACCCTGCGACCAACGCTAGTCCGTCTCCGTTGGCGCCGGGGACAGCTGAATGCGAGGCGCACCAATAGACCGAACAGAAGTAGCCAACAGAACTGCCAGAGACCGCTGCGGGGCGATGGCGAGCGTTGGCAAGGCCTTCGAGGGAGTGGCCTTCTGGGCCGTGGCTCTCATATGCGCGCGTAGCGCCGCGGAGGGAGACTCTGGGTCAGCGCCAGCGCTGGCAGCGTTGTGCGCTCGCCAAACCTTCGCCGCTGGCCCGCCGTGGTCTTTCCCAATTTCCTCAGATTAATCAGCGGGGGCGTCTTGAGGGAACCAGCCCGACGCAGGGTTCGGCATGTGCATTAGTAGGCACCGCCTCCTGCTACCGTCGTTCCCTCCTTAGTCTGGCAAGTCATCGTGCCTGACGTAGAGCGTCGCGGGCCACCAATTATGGAGCTGACGCTGGTACGCATGGAACGCACTGATTAGCATGAGTTCCCGTGTTCGTCAACGCAGTTGCGCAAGCCTTCCAGACTCAGCTTGACGCCCATCTCCGCTATCGCGTTTTTCAGCTTCAAACACGGTGGCGGCAGTGCCGCGATGGCGCAGTTGGGCGCCATGACTGAGGCAATTCACGCCCGACGCGCCAGCGTGCAAAACATAGCTTTCTCAAAGTGTTTGGGCCGAGGTTTTCGCAACTCAGCGTGAGGCCCGACCACCTATCTGCGTACCCCCTGTGGCATGGAGAACGTGCCAGGCCTGCAACGCCACGCGACCCCAAGACGGATGGAGACCACGGGCAGGGACCACTCCCTGCGCACCCTCTACGGTGTCGAGAAAGTGCCACGCCTGCCACGCCTTGCGACCCTGAGACAGATAGAGACCACGGTGACGGACCCCCCCCTGCGCACCCTCTATGGTGTCGAAGAAATGCCACGCCTGCCACGCCTTGCGACCCCGAGACGGATAGAGACCACGGTGACGGACCACCCCCTCCGCACCTCCTATGGTGTTGAGCATGTGCCACGCCTGCCATTGCGACCCTGAGACGGATAGAGACCACGGTGAGGATCACCCCCTGCGCACCCTGTATGGTGTCGAGAATGTGCCACGCCTGCCACGCCTTGCGACCCTGAGACGGATAGAGACCACTGTGACGGACCACCCCCTGCGCACCCCCTTATGGCGTCGAGAAAGAGCCACGCCTGCCACGCCTTACGATCTGAGACGGATAGAGACCACGGTCAGGAGACGGGGGAGGGGGTGCGACGTGGCATGAAGTGCCACGCCTGCCATGCTTTGCGAACCCGAAACGGATAGGGAAACCACCCCCATCACACCCCCTGTGGTGTCGATAAAATGCCACGCCTGCCACACTTTGCGATCCCGAAACGGACAAAGGACACCACCCCCAGCGCAACCCTATGGTGTCGCAAAAGGGCCACGTTTGCCACGGCGGTTGGTTTTGTAAGCGCGAGCGAGACGGAGAAGCAAAAGGGTGAGGAGGAGGAGGAAAGGAAGCGCGGGTGCGACGCGGCAAGGAAGAAAACCCAAAACCCACGAAGCGTGTGGGGAATCATCATAACAACGATACTAATATCATTAATAATAATGAAAACAAAAATAACAATAACTCAAATCATAACAATAACAATAACAATCATAACAATCATACTAAGCAAGCGATGCTAATAACAATCGCACCCGAAAGTTCAGGGACATAAGCCTAATACGAATCACAATAAGGGTGCCAGGGGCGGGAAGCGTCGCAAGCCGCAGGGCACATGCGCCAGACGTGTGCGCCTGTAGCTCACGCCGGCGCGCCACCGCTCGCGCCTCGCCTAGGGTACTCCTTCGGCTTCGTTGGGCCGCAGCCAGCGCCGGGACTAAGTCGGACCAGCACAACGCGGGAATCTCTGAGAGCTGGCGGTTCGTGACGGCATGTCGGACGCCGCGGCCGTCGCAAAGCGCTCGGGGGCGATCTAAAGGCGCTCCGGAACGCTCGGAACAAATGTATGCCTGTCATATAAGGCGCCTGCGAATAATTTTTGCAAATTCGGCAAATTCACCCCCGTGGCGATGGCGGCCGAACCCCATCAAGAAAGAGGTTTCGTGATTTACATGTTTCAATTCTCCACATCGCCTGCGACAGACCGGTGTCACGTCTCCCGTGCGTCCGTCTGATCGCTTGGCCATCCAAAGGGAAGGCCTGTAGGCACGCAGTGGCGATGGTGATGGCGACGACGGTGGCGGTGCCACGTCGCCCTTTATCACTGACAAGACCTGGCTTTGCGCGGGGACAACACGCAAGGAAAATCATCAGCCAAACTCCTTATCGCCCGCGGGAAATTGGTTTCGCGTTTAACGATCTTTTGACGTCTTCATCGCCCGCGGGGGGTATCGCAGGCATGGAAAAGCCACGGTGGTGGTGATGATGAAAATGATGGCAATCATGAAGGTGATGGTGACGGCAACGTCGTCTTGTCCACGTGCCCTGGCCTGATCGATGATTGCGCGTGGAACAGTGCCAACGCATCGTCACGCAAACGAAACATTTCGCGAACAGGCAACTGCTCAATGAATGGTGCGGAGTTGACGCGCGAGAACTCACGGGAAACAGTGTTTCGGGACGTGTCAATCTGGTTGGGCGTGACACTTGCCCAGTCGCCTTCCCAAGGAAAAACCGATGGGCGAAACGCGCCAGGCGATGTTGTGCAAGTCCGATCTGAAAAAGTCCGGGTCGACCTGAAAATGCCCAAGTGCCCCGTGTATCAATTTACGTAGTCTGGCGCCGGTGTCCGGTGTCAGCATTTTTCAAGTTGGCCTGAACGGTCTTTCCCTGTCAAAGAAGCAATCGAGGAAACAAGCGCTGGCGGATGATTCTTCAAATTCGACATGGCAATTTTCAGGTCGACGGAAGCGTGCGGAAGTGCCCCCCCCGTGTATGAAATACTGCACTCCGGTCGCGTTTTCCGATGGACGCCCCATTTGGCGATTATATGAATAAGAAGGGCTTGGAGGGACTTGAACGTGTAGCCCCGAAGCGGCTGACATTGGCGTGCCCCCATGGTGCTGTACGGGGCCCCATGCGCCTAATGCGGGTTCGTGTATCGTACTGCACCTGGTCCGACTCGCCCACTCACGAAACGCATGCGCCGCGATGCCCTGTGTTGACGCTGTCATGCGTACATGTTTTATCAGTGCAATTTTGGCAAGCGATCACGAGCCCCGCCCGATCGTTGCTCGCATGGCTTCGGGCGCTCAGGCACGTCCGCCCCACTTCTCCTCCTGTTTCCTGTCGCTCCCGCTGGCCCCGGCTGATCTTCATTGCGCGCGCGTGCGCCGCCGCAAGCGTGCGCGGGAGGGAGGCGAGGGTCCGCTTCGCCAGGTCAAGCGTCGACACCATCGCTGCGAACGAAGAAAGCGCATCGGCGGCAGGGTGCGCTTGAGTCGGAGCTCGCGGCAACGGACTAACAAGGATGATGGTCAATCTTCCACTCGGCCTGCTCTCTCGCCTCCGTCGTGCTTTGCCCTCTGCTGGCCCGGCCTTTGGGCGCCTCTTGTGATCGCTAGACCTTTCCAAACTCCCCCCTCGCGGGGGCTAATTCAGTCTGCGCGTGTCCCGCCTGTCGGCTTCGCGCCCAAAGGGGAAGGCAAGGGGGGGGGGAAGGCTTTCTCCGAAGGCTCAGAAGGCCTCTGGCCTTCTGACAGGCTTTCCACGCCTTCTCCGAAGACAGTGACGGCTTGTCAGAAGGCCCAGAGTCTTCTCAGAAACCTCGCCGCCTTCTGAGAACGCCTGCCCCTCGCACTTCCCCGCTGGGCGCGCCGCGGAACTGACTGTTTATCGTCGAATGGTGATCGTCGGCGCGTCAGAGGATAAAACGTTACCAGTGCGCAGCGGTGATATCGTACACTAGGACACAAGGGCGCGCGGGAAGCCAGAACTGGCGTGATCAACTCCACGTGTTGCGCTTGTGTTCCATACTTTCAATGCTCTGGCCACTCGGTCATTCCCCCTCTGTATGTACATGGGTTGCTGGTTTTGGGACGGGCTTCGTTGCAAGTTTATATGTTAGTGGCGAGCGCCCCCAACCGCACTGTTCAAACTTTCTGTGCATCATGGCGAAATGATGCATCTGGTACCTTCAGCACGGATGCATTCAGTCATCCATGAATACCTTCACAGTCCTGGCGTTACTTTGTGCGCTCTGTATCTATAGCCAACAGTACATGCTTTTAATGATCAACTCTTTCGGGTCTTCTTAGGTTGGGAATCCTTTTTAGGTTGGGAATATGCTTTGATAATATTGTAAGGTTGCCTGGTTTGGCTTCGCACTGCTCTGTGTTTCTTCGCCCTGCCTTGTGCAACCTTGTCCTGACGTACCTTGTTTGTTGACTCCTTACCGTCCTTAACCATAACGCATGCTGTCTGGCGTCCGTGTCACCTTCCCTGCCGGGCTGCTCTTGCCCTGGACTTTTGACAATCCACCGCCGCCCAATGACGGCACAACTTCTGAAACACGGCTGGGTCTGCGCGCAGCATGGTAATGCGGGCGTCTCGTGCTGCATGATGCTATGGCGTGCAGGCGCGTGCGCATCGAGCGAGCACGTATGCCCGTGCACATAAACATTGCTGATAAACCATTCGTCGTATCGGTGGGTAGTCACGGCGGCATACGGGTAATACGCGCAATTGTGCGACCAACTGCGCGAGAACCCGCACACGCCAGCGCACACAAGTACGAGAAGAAGAAACTCTGGGTCAATAGTGAAGCTGGGGATGGAACATCTCTCGCACGTGGATCGTGCTCCGCAACTCTTGCTTCGCAGTGCTCATTTGGTTTGGATTCCCATCCCCAAACACTGCTTGCTTTTAAGGACTCTGTTTTGCATGGTCAAATGTTAGCTGTGGTCGCCAATATTCCTGGTAACGATCGGAATGACTTACGGCCGCCTCACATGTTCAGCTTGCATTGGCTCTGTTTGTCGAGAGTTCTGACGGTGCGGGCTGTTACGGTCACCTCTAAGCTTCTTGTGGGCTAAATCGGGTCTCGCCCGACAAGGTCCGACAGGATAGGGTCCCACACGATAGTGTCCCGCACGATGGGTCCCACAATATATGGCCCCACACGTAACAGGCCCACACGATAGGGGTCCCACGCGATAGGGTCCCACACGCTCGGTTCTCGCGCGATAGGGTCCAATAGATCGCGCGCCACAGGATGCACTTTATAGGTTGCATAGCACCGCTGTGCATATGGGGTCCACGCCGACATCAGATTTCTTCACTTCTTGGCTGGTACCATACATTATGACATCACCTCCCCACCATCTGGGTATCATGTTGCCCATGTCTTGGCAATTTCACTGTCGCCTACACGCCACGCACGACACGAACGCGGAAAGTATGGCTCCGTTTGGTGGTGGTGGTGGTTGCTCCCGAAGGCTTTCACCGTGCCCCCTGGAATGTTGAGGCGTGGCAGCATGCCAAGGACTGCCTGGTCAGGTTTCTGTGATCTTCGAAGACCCCCCCTACTCGCAGACTGTCGCATTCATCCCCCGTCTCCCGAGGCCGCGATCCCTTATAAAAAAGCTATAGGTCTGCGCTCCCGAGGCCACGATCCCTGGTACAAAAAACGACGGGTCCGCGCTCCCGACCTTCCACGACGGCCCACGCAAGCAACCAAGGCTGCCAAGAAAACACACTATGCCTCCAAGACGGCCCAAGCTGGCGCCAATGCGGCCCAAGATAGCCTCAAGACGGCCAAATATGCGGGGCCACAAGAAAGTCCGAAAACACCAACATCCTTGATTATCCTTCGGTTCTTGACAGCTTTTTGCATTCTCGCCTTTCCGGGCCTTCGTCAGCCCACGACGGCCCAAGAAGCCTCCAAGATGGCCCATGAGGCCTTCAAAAGGGCCCAAAGACGGCCCAAGAGGACCTCATCATGGTCCAAGAGGCTTCCAAGGCGACCCAGGAAGGCCTCTGGAGAGGCTTGAGCCTGCCTGAGGAGGGCCTTCGAAGGAAGGCGCCAAGACGGCCCCACGACGGCCCTGGAAGGCCCCAAGACGGCCACAAGTGACCCTCAACACTGCCCCGCAGGAACCCAAGGCAGCCCCAAGAAGGCCCAAATGAGCTCCATGAGAGCTCCTCGGGAAGAGAAGACGACATGTGTCACCTGTGACGGCCTTCCTATTAGTTTTCCTACTGCTCGTGCTCCTCCTCGTCATCACCCTCATCATCCTCATCACAACTCTCCCACGATCGGGGACACGAGGTGTCGTGCGCTACTGCCTCCCGCGCCCCCTCGAACAATCGCCACCCAAAATGTGGGGGTTGGCACGGTGGCGGGACTTTCCGCAGCCAGCTGGATACTCACCCTTGCACCTGCATCTGCCAAACATTAACTATGAAGGCGCTGATCCAATCTCTCCCGGTTGATTCTCCCGCGCACAAAATTGAACAATCCATCCGTCTGCCAGCCCAAGCCGTGCAGACTACTTCAGGGAGCTTGCCAACACGACACGCCACTCCTAAGAGATCATAAGTACGTGCGTGCAACCTCATGTGAGCACAATTTGTTGGCACGCACCCAGACAAACTATCGTTCTGACGTCACCTGCTTCAATACGTGAGTGGTGACTTGGGAACAAATCAGGGGCGACGGAAACGACTCAGAAAAAAACAGCGGAGGACAACAATCGAGAACACCACAACACGGCTGCTGTCAAACAACAAAGGTATAGGTGCGGGCACGACAGTTGGCAATACAAAACCACGCTGCGCTAAATACTCGTTTTGGTCGTCATGCGTACTTCACGCTTGCGGCCGAATCAAACCGGAAAAACATAAAATTTGCATTCGACTCGATGCTGCGATAGCTGGTACCCTTGAAATCTGCAAGGCGGAGCAAACTTCGCCTGAAAGATGAAATTCAACCGCAGCGCTGGCCAGGCCGAGATTGAAAATTTGGCTGGCATGCGTAGGCGTGTTATCGAGCATCTAATCAAAGAGCGAGGTAACATCACGCGAAGCGGGTGGGAGGATTGTCGACAAAGACAAGAATACACACCTAGAGGGGAAAACTTGGCCCCAGGGCATCGGGCCATGACCTCCCTTGTACGGGGCGGCCCCTCCTCCTGGGCGGCAATTCCCGAGGTCCCTCAGGGCTACGAGAAGGCCCGAGAGCGCTCCAGGATCACGCGAAAATCTGAGATGCATCCCTGACGGCCCAAATGATCCCCAGAACGCTCCCGAAACAGTCCAAGACTGCTCCAAGAGGCCCCCACGAGGGCCGAAGAGAGCCAGGGACCCACCTGCAGGCCCTCCGGAACCAAAAATCATTCAAACACCCCAGGGGGAAACAACAAATGGCTTTAGACTGATATCTTTGTCGCCCCATATGCTTCTGAAACTTCAACCCAATGATATACCCCAATGATACACCCAAGGGCTGCCACGAGGCTCCCGCGCACGCTCCCCAGAGGCACCAAAGAGACCCCAGGAACCCACCAAGAGGCCCCCAAGGGGCCACAACAGCCCCCAAGGGCCCCCGACGGCCCAAGAGGCCCCGAGGAGAGCCCAAGAGAGTTCCTAGGGCCCCCCAAGAGGTCTGGGGGAGCTCCAAATCATTGAACAACGAAAAAGGAAATCAATGACTTCAGCTTTCTCCCCTCTTCGCCTCCTAAATCCTTCCGAGGCTTCATTCAATCTAGACCCCAAGATGGTTCCATAACGGCCCCAAGAAGCGCCTAAATGTGCTCCCAGACGCCCTAAGGGGCCCCCTATGACGGCCCAAGAGGCTCCCGCGAGGCTCCCGAAGATATCCCCAATCAGCGCCAAAGAGCCCTCGGAGCCCACAAAGATGCTCCGAAACGCACCCCCCTCAAGGGGCCACAGCAGCCTGAATGTTAGCCAGGGTGGGCCCAAAATTGTACACTATGGCGCTGTGGAGGTGGTAGCTATGTGGTGGATTGATTCCCCAGGGTACATGGTGTTTTGATGTGTATCATATTCTTTTATTTTGTAATATATGATACCATATTCATATCACAACATACCACATCCTACCATATGTTATTATACTGTATTATGTTATGATATACACTATCGTACTGATATCTTATATTACAACCGATGTTACTGCATCATGCTACATTATACTGTACTGTATCATCTGATCGCATATGGTACTTTCATATGATATATAGTATTATATTTTATGGTGTTATCGTATATTGTATTGTACTATAACGTAGTACAATTTATGGTATTGTGTGGTTTTCGATCACACTATATCATATTGTACTATAATGTAGTGATTTGTATGGTAGTGTAGTGTAGTGTTTTATACTCTATTATACAATGTTATATCGTATTGTACTGTATTCTATGACATAACATATTATATGATACAATAGTATATTGCATTATATTCTATTCCATCAAATTATATTGTGCTATATTATGTGATACAACTAGCGTCAGCGTTGCGTCTTTGCCTTTCCGCTCCTCAGGGCGCCCACGGCGGGCTGACAGGCCCCCCTGCTTGCCCCTAGACGGCCAAAGGAACCCAAAGCGGGCCCCAGGTGCCCAAGACGGCTCAAGAGGGCCGCAAAGAGGGCCCCCCCCCAGAAGCAAGGAGGCCCACACAGGGGCGCGGGACGGCCCGGGATATCCAAAAGAGCCCCAACATGGCCCCAAGAGAGCACCAACGCAGCCCAAGAGGGCCCCAAACAAACCCCAAAGGGGCCCCAAAAAACTTCCCAAATTGCCCAAGGGCCTCAATACGGCTTTGAATCGCCGCCCAAAAAACCTAATACTGCATCTCCAATCTGTGTCCAAGAAACTCCAAGACGGTCCACAGACGGCTGGATGTGACCCGGAAACTCTTCGATAATGCCCCCGAAAAGCTAAAGTAATCGAATTTGAAGCCCTCCTGCGATGCGAATTTTCTGGGCGCGGCTAGAACTACACGCGCTGAGGTTCTGACGCGATTTCGCCGTCGTTCATGTACACTCCAAGCCAATCATACAGTTGTCCATGCTTCTCATCGCCCATAACCGATCAATGCCTTCATCCAGACAGCGCAGAGCACAAGGCAACATGCCACACCTGCGAAACCACGCATCTATACAAAGACATATTCATACACACATAAATGTACACATGCCCCACCGGTGATGTCACGCACACGCACGTATACGTACACATATGTATACATAAAGAAGGAGCGAGAGGGAGAGAGAGATACAGAGAGAGAGAGAGAGATCTACAGAAGGAGAACGGGGCAACAGCGCATGGGCATATAGAGAGCGCCATCTTTGGATATAGCTGTCGATAGGTGTGATCTGAGTCACGGGGTATGGTGAAAGGCCAACAACGTAACACTCTCTCTATGTACATATATATATATATATATGAGTGCACACGTACAATTTATATATACACATGGATGTACGACACATAACGAAACACTTGTTCTGCTCGGACTTTTCGCGGATAATTGCCCTGACCTGCATTCCTGCAGGTTTGATTGCGCTCAGAACTGTAGGACGATGAGATGGACGATGGTGATGGTGATGAGATGGGTGATTGTGATGTTGGAATGGGCGCGGGTGTTCATAATATGGCTGGTGGTGATGATAAGATGGATGAGGGTGGCGAGGTTTGATGATGAGGGTTGAGGCGACCCGCTGGCAATGATGATGGTGAGATGGATGTTGGTGATGATGAGGTGGGTAATGGTGATGGGATGATCGGTGATGACGGGGATGCCGAAATAGATGTTGGCAATGGTGATGGATGATAATGATGACTAGGCGCACCAGGCGCACAAGGCATACCGACAAGGCACACCACGCACGCCGACGAGGCGCACCAGGCACGCTGACCAGGCACACCAGGCACACCCACCCAGCACACCAGGCACACCTTCCAAGCATACCAGGCACATAGACCAGGCACGCAAATCACACTAGGCACACCGCCCAAGCACAGCAGGGACACCGACCAGGCACACCAGGCACACCGACCATGCACACCAGGCACACTATGCACACCACCCAGGCGCACCAGGCACACCGACCAGGCACACCAGGCACACCGACCAGGCACACCAGGCACACCAGGCGCACCTTCGCAGCACACCAGGCACACAGACGAGGCACGCCCAGCACAGCACACCTTCATGCCAAGCACACCAAGTACTTTTTCGGCTGTCCCTTGGCTGAAAGCATCCGCTGCCGCATGGCTCAAAGCAAAGACAGTGACTGATGTTGATAATATGGGCTAGGTGGTAATGATGGCGAGGATGAGGGCGTGATGCGGCAAGAGAGAGAGAGAGAGAGAGAGAGGGAGAGAGAGAGAGAGAGATGCATGGATACATACATACACACATATATATATGAATGGAGAGAGAGAGAGAGAGAGAGAGAGAGAGAAAGAGAGAGAGAGAGAAAAAAAGAGAGAGAGAGAGATAACACTAGAAAGAGAGAAACAGAGAGAGAGAGAGAGACAGAAAGAGAGAGAGAGAGAGAGAAAAGAGAGAGAGAGAGAGAGAGAGAGAGGGAGAGACAAACATATAAAGAGAAAGAGAGAACAAGAGAGAGAGAGAGAGAGAGCCAGAGAAAAGAGAGAGGGAGAGGGAGAGAACGAGACGATCATACACAAAGTTCCCGTTACAATAGTTTTACAATCTGGGACCCTGCGACCCCCCCCACAAAACGGGACCCCCCCCGATCCCTTGCTCTGGGGGCCCCCTGGACGCCGCTGCAGAAGGTCCCACGCGCTTTTGGGAGCCCCTGCTGGGCCCAGACAGAAGGCCCAAATCGATCAGGAGGGCGGCCGAACGGCCCCCCGAGGGCCCCAAGAGGCCCCAAAGACCCACCAGACGCCTGAAGACGACCCCAGAAACAGCCTTAAGAGGCTGTCGAAATGCAGAAAACCATTGATTTCTAATGGCTTTTGTCTGATTTTGGTAATGCTCTGTTCTTCGGTCTTCCAGGCGTCCGAGACCGCCCAAGAGGCCAGAACATCACGCCAAAACTATCCGAAAGGGCTTCCAGGCAGTCGAAGAGACCTCCAAAACGGCCCAACAGGGCCCCAAGATGGCCCGAACAGGGCCCCATGACGGCCCAAGATGGCCCAAAGACGCCTCCCGAAACATTCCAAATCGTGACCCGGTCGTTCAGGGAGACAGCAATGGGAAGCAGGGTGGCCCGAGGAAGCCCCCAGAGGCCCCCAGAAGGCGCCCAGGAGGCCTCCAGAAGGCTCCATGAAGCCATGTAGCCAAAATTTCGTGAGGCCCCCAAGAAGCTCTCCAAGGAGGACTTCGCAGGGAGAGTGAGGAAGAAGAGAAGGAGACATGAGGGAAGGATACCGAATGGCATTATGATGACGACGATGTCGGGCAAAAGCAGCGAGAAATTATCGCTATTTTTTCGGGTTTACCGTCCTGCCCTTCCGCCGCGACTTCCGCCTGCATGCTAAATGCCAAAGTCCAAGGTGCACGGCGCGAAGCGCCGATGCAGTCTGGTGTATCTCTATAGTTACCTTTATATATGTACATGCGTACATACATACCAACATGGTTCGTCATCTATATATGGATATGCATATATTCAACAAGGGTGATTTCGACTGCGGATCTGATGCAGAACATCCATTGCGAAAAAACATGTAGCAACAAATATCGGGTCGAACACAAACCTGGTGCAATGATCGCCGCTAGGTGGATGTGATTCACATTGGCCATATTCGCCCGGACGAAGGCGGAGTCTGCAACAATACTTACACCTCTAAGCACTTGGCGACATCTGTTTCGGAGACCCACGTAATTCAAAGGTCCCATGTTTTGGGACGCTGGCTCATTCTCGGCCTGAAGAGCAACAGCACGATGAGCGCGAAAGCGTCCCAGTTTACTGCCGACGCCTGGGTGATTGCGATCGAAGGTTCCAGGGACGAACCACTCGAGCTTGAATGGATTTGACCCTCTCTGCGTACCTCAACCTTCTCGCCTGGATCTCTGTAAAAACCCGAAGTGTGGATGAGAAACGTCAGAGGAAGAAGAAACGATGCATGGATGATGGCACAATGGCGGTAGCCGCTGGGACAGATGGCCGCACACATACTTCGGGTTCCGGAAACCCTGAAACCAAAAATGTTGTCATCTCTTGTGGGCGCATCTTTTACTTCCGTCGGCCTCCGCCGGCCTTCCGCCAGCTTTCGCCGGCGGAGCCGCAATTGTTTCTACTTCCGCCGCCTTTCGCCGAAGCAGAGATGGCATCTTTGATCCTCGAAGGCGAAGCCCTTTGTGGAGAAGCCTCATACATTGACCCATCGATGCCCCACGCAATGCTTGCACTACTTGCGCTACGGGCTGCTACTTGCACCGTGAAGACATGGCTTGCGCTTCCGGACCTTCGTCCGGCGCACGCCCCGTGTGCTGGCTTGCCCTTCCAGGATTTTGACTGGTGCCCCCTCACGCCCGCCTCGCGCCGCGCCGTGCACTGGCTGGCGCCTCCTGGCTCTTTGCAGCCCGTGCCCACCTCGTACCCGGCCGCGTGGCTGGCTGGCTCTCGAAGATGCGCACACAGACTTAGACTGTATCGAATGGCTTACACCACATAGATTTTGCCACACAGCTTGCAACCCCGTAGGTTCTCTTAACTCAAAAGCATGAAGCTCTGCCCTCATACCGAGGCCAGACTTAACGCTTCACCTCCGCGCATTGGTTTTTTTCTGCACGAATGATCACACTACTTCCTCGTCGTACTCAACAGCGCCATCGTCGGCATCATCGCCAACGCTATCAATACCGTCATGATCGCAATTATCATCATATTCATCACCATTACCACCGTCGTTGTCATAACCCCCACCGTCATCATCGTCGTCGTCGTCGCCATTATCATCATCATCACCATCATCAGAATCGTCATCGCCAATATCATCGTTGTCGCCCTCGCCGTCATCGCCACCACCATGATCACCATCATCGTCGTCGTCGCCACTGTCGTCATCACCATCATCACTCGTTCGCCCGAGTCGTGGATCTGCATGAGAAGGGCCTTCGCGCCACTGGAGCTTGGCCAAAAAGATGCGGGTGGTTTGGTAGGATGTTAGCTCGAGCATTGGAGTGGGCGGCTCCAAGTTCTTCTGCATCTAGATGCATTCCGTAGAGTGCCCGACACATCTTGCACCACATACACACGTATATATAGTCCAGGGCTTGGGCCCCCCCCCCCCCCAATGTTGATGCCATTGGGCCCCCCCCCCCGCGCGATGGTCCTCCCCGCCCCCCCCTGTGGGGGTGGCGTGGTGCTGCGCTGCGGTGCCCCCCTCCCCCCCCCTCTGGATGTGGTGTGGTGCTGTGGTGGTTCAGAGGTCGTCGTCGTCGTTGTCGTCGTCGTCGTCGTCGTCCTCGTCGTCGTCGTCGTCGCCGTCGTCATCGTCGTCATCGTCGTCGCCGCCGCCGCCGGCGTCGTCGCCGCCGCAGCCGTCGTCGTCATCGTGGTCATCGTCGTCGTCGCCGTCGCCGTCGTCGTAGTCGTCGCCGTCGTCGTCGTCGTCGTCGTCGTCGCCGTCGTCGTCGTCTTCGTCGTCGTCGTCGTCGTCTCTGGGACCATACCATCTGGGGGGGGGGGCGGGCCCGAGTAATCCTGGGACCATACCATCTGGAGGGGGGGCCGTGGGCCCGGAGCCCGGGATCATATATGGTCGAGGTTTTGGCCCCCCCCCCCCCCATGCTAATGCCATCGGGCCCCCCCCCCTCTCCCCCCGCGCGATGGTCCCCCCCTCCCCCCCTGTGGGCGTGGGCGTGGCGTGGTGGCCCCCCCCCCTGCGGGAGTGGTGTGGGGTCTGGGGTCCCCCCTGTGGGTGTGCGGTGGTTAGGGGTCCGCCTCAGCCAAGAATCGGCGTCGCTGGCGCCGCCGCCGCCGTCGTGTCGTCGTTGTCGTCGTTGTCGTCGTCCGCCTCAGCCGGAGCGGACGGAGCGGACGGTGTCTTCGTCGTCGTCGTCGTCGTCGTCATCGCCGTCGTCGTCGTCGTCCTCCTCCTCCTCCTCCTCCTCCTGCTCCTCCTGCTCCTCCTCCTCCTCCTTCTCCTCCTCCTCCTCCCCCCCATCCCATCTGGGGGGGGGGCCCGAGGACCCTGGGACCCATCCCATCTGGGGGGGGGGGCCGTGGGCCCGGAACCCGCGATCATATATAGATATATATGTGTATATATATATACACACATGTATATGCACATCTCTCTCTATATGAATATCTTTACTTATATGTATAGTGCCACATAGCTTGCACCTCATAGCTTGTGCACCATTGAATCCATGACATACGTTGCACCACGTATATTTCACCACGTAGGTTGCACCACATAGACAGCATCGCATGGACAACACACCATGTATTGAAACACATAATTTGCACCACACATACGTGCATCTTGAGCCACCCATATTGCACATGGAGAATGCAATCACCCATAGTTTGGGGTCCACGCAAGCAAACATCTATGGAGAATCGACCGACGGTTTGGAGTGCTTAGCCGAATTGGATTTTCAAAACAAAACACTGCCCCTGCGTCTCTGTGTTGCTGTCTCCCTTGCTCGGTCACCATCCGCCCATTCATCTACATGTCATCGAAAGCTGACAACACCGTAAGGCAATTGAATCGGCCTTCGATTCTCCTTCTGCGCGGGTGGCTGTGTCCTGACATGACGCCCCCATCCCTGCTCCACAAAGGAAAACTGAGAGCATACGCGTAGGAATTGGCAATGAAGCGCCTTTCGGTCAGTTGCTTGGAGGCGTCAACGGCATGCCCCTCGTAACGGCATTTGTGAAACCGTCGACAACTAAACTCATCGTTTCGCTCACTTCTTGCTGGTGGTATGGTGGCCGAATAGTAGCTGCACCGGTTCTGCCCCACAAACTCCACCAGAGCAAAACCAATACTCCCAAACTGATTCATACACCCGTCTTCGTTTTTTTGGCGTCGCAATGATACTATGTGCCGCGTTCCATAGCATGAGCCTCAACAAGCAACACAAGCCTCATCGTAGCGATATGGTGGAAAACGATGAAGGGTTGTAGTGGGTCCACGAGGAATACTTACATGCATGATAATAGGACTGTTAAAACCTAGCAAGCATACGTGCATACAGATGCCAATGGAAGCGTATGGGCGTAGCCATCGACACACTCTTGGCATCTGCTATGTCTGCCATTTGCTTGAACCCGAAGCGCATCTGCTTCGGCAGCCCGCGCGGGTTCTCACTCCTCAGTGGCGAGATGTGCGCGTCATCAAAAATCACAATATGCTCCCAAACCTTTGCCCTCAAAATTGGTTTCCGTGACCGCAGAGGGTCTTTAAGAACTCCCTTGTTATAATGGAAGCTGCTTTTTGGCTCGGGATTATTGACGAATTGGAGCCGGGAGCAGTACTGGGAAAATAAATACCCCCCGCGGCAGCCCCTGCTGAGGCCTCTGCCGTATTCGTCGTCGATGCCGCTGTCGTCATCGTGCTTGAACGCTTACTCTGTCTAATCCCGACGACGACGACGACGACGACGACGACGACGACGACGACGACGACGACGACGACGACGACGACGACGACGACGACGACGACGACGACTACTACTACTACTACTACCACTACTACTACTGCTACTACTACTACTACTACTACTACTACTACTACTACTACTACTACTACTACTACTACTACTACTACTACTACTACTACTACTACTACTACTACTACTACTACTACTACTACTACTACTACTACTACTACTACTACTACTACTACTACTACTACAACTACAACTACTACTGCTGCTACCACTACTACTACTACCACTGCTGCTACTACTACTACTACTACTACCTCATCTACTACTACTACTCCTACTACTACTGCTCCTTCTACTACTACTACTACTACTACTACCACCACTGCTAGAACTAGTTCTAGTCCTAGTACTAGTACTAGTACTAGTACTAGTACAACTACTACTACTACTACCACCACCACCACCACTAGTACTACTACCACTAATGCTGCCACTGTTACTGTTACTACTACTACGAATGCACGTATTATTCTACTACCGCTACCCCTACTACTACGACTACTACTTCTACTGCTATTGCTACTGCTATTGCTACTGCTGCGACTACGACTACGACTACGGCTACGACTACAACTACGACTACGACGACGACGACGACTACCACTACTACTACTACTACTACTACTACTACTACTACTACTACTACTACTACTACTACTACTACTACTACTACTACTACTACTACTACTACTACTACTACTACTACTACTACTACTACTACTACTACTACTACTACTACTACTACTACTACTACTACTACTACTACTACTACTACTACTACTACTACTACTACTACTACTACTACTACTACTACTACTACTACTACTACTACTACTACTACTACTACTACTACTACTACTACTACTACTACTACTACTACTACTACTACTACTACTACTACTACTACTACTACTACTACTACAACTACAACTACTACTGCTACTACCACTACTACTACTACTACCACTACTACTACTACTACTACTGCTACTACTACTCGGAGGAGGGCGAGGAGGGAGGGCGAGGAGGGCGATGAGGGGAGGGATGCGGGGGAGGACGAGTTTTACTCCCAGCCGAGAGCTTAGGGGGAGGGACGTGCAGCATTAAAGACCCTCTGCAGTTCATGATTGGGCCTGCCACTCCCTAGCTTTCTCCATTCTCCTCTCTCCCTGCCTGTCCCTTCGATGTTTCTTGTTTCCCCGCAATTGTAGTGCGTATGCATATCTGCATGTGTACCAAAATCTACATACCGACACACTAGAGCCACGCGCGCGCTTTGCGCGCGCTTTGGTTCTGGGTCTCCTCCGTGCTCTATCCGCGCCACTGTGGGACACCTCGTTCCTTGGAGGAACTGCGACAACATCGGAAATCTCTAATGGGCAACACGCGATCGCTCGCTGCCGGTCAGCGCTTGTTTTTTCCAACACTTTTGTGTTATTAGGTCCTCGTTTTGTCTCCACAGCGCCACGCGTCCACTCCTCCTCCTTTCTTCCTTCTCACCCTCCTCCATACATTCGGGGCACTCCTCAACCGGATTGTGGGAACTTCGTCTAGGGCACCAACCAGAGCACCCGCATGCGTTCCCATGCGCATCTCGGCACACCCTTCACACGGATCGTGCCCCACACGGAGCTGCACCGACGGCACCAGTGAGGCGCCCGCATGCGCCCCCACGCAACTTTGGTACACTCCTCACACGGATCACCCCGCATATGGGGGCTCTGTCTACGGCGCCAGTGAGGGCGCCAGCTCGCGTCTACACGCGCTTGTCGCCGAACCCCTCACACGAATCGTGCCCCGTAGGGAGCTCCACTTATGACACCAGTGAGGGCGCCCGCACGCGTCCCCACGCGCATGTCGGCACACTCCTCACACGGATCGCGCCCCGTAGAGAGCTCCACCCACAACCCTCCTCGACATCAAAAGCAAGTGCAAGTGCTTGATGTGGATCGACGCGCGGAGCGCGGCCGACGGGGTCAGATTCTTGTGCTCGCAATCGCCGGTTTCGGCGCGAGCATTGGAAGTTTGGGGCCTGGGGCGTCGCCACGTCGTGGGAAGCACTTGCGTTTGACTTCGAGGAGGGATGTACAGCATCTGTCAGCACGTTCGCACGCGCCCCCTCCCCCATTTCGGCGCACCCTCCGCATGAATCGCGCCCCGTAGGGAGCCTCACCTGCGGAAGCAGTGGGCGCGTCCGCGAGCGGTCCCGACGCTCGTTCTGGCGCACCCCTCACACGGATCGTGCCTCAGAGGGATAGCGCACGTGGGCGCGTCCACACGCGGTGCGCTCGCCTGTCTCGGCACATTTGTCACTCGGATCGCGCCGTACAGAGAGCTCCGACTACAGCACAAGTGGAGTCGCTCCTAAACCATCCCGCCCCAATTCGGCATAACCATCACACGGATCGCGCCCCACAAGGAGCTCCACCTTCCTCCTTCCCTCCCGCGGCGCACAGTCCATGAGGAGAGGGCATCCCCTGCGCTACACGTAGTTGCATAGGGCTGGGCCCTTTGGTCGGATATCTTTGCTTCGGGGGCGATCGGCGTGACACAAAACTCGGGGATGGACAGACCCCCCTTTAGTAAAACGTGGTTTAGTGAAAACGACCTGAGGCCCAAACCTGGCGGGCGCAAGCCTGGAAAATAACGGCCACGGCGCCCTCTCGAGAACCGAAAACGGACAATTCACTAATCGACGTGTCACTGTTGGGGGTTCTGTCCACCCCCGAAAAACAGACAACATGACCTGGCTGGGGGCCTGTAACACATTGCTGGTCAGACTTGATTTTTGCATGTCTGCGCCGAGCTGCTGGCTTGCGTGGCGGGCGTGGGCCACGCTGACGGTCAGGTCTTCGATTCCAGATGTTAGCTGGTGCATCCTCAGTTGCCTTGCCCCCTGCTCTCCCGCCGAAGAAGGGGGAAACGAGGACGAGGATGGGGAGGGGACAGGTCAAACGGGGAGGAATATAAGGAGGAGGGGGAGGTGGAGGAGGAGGAGGAGGAGGAGGAGGAGGAGGAGGAGGAGGAGGAGGAAGGAAGAGGAAGAGAGACAGGAGGTGCAGACCAGAAAACGAGGGCGATGAGGACAATATCTCAGGGTTCTCTTGGGATCCCCTTGGCCCCCGCATTTTTTCAAGTGGCTCGGCGCGTCACGGTACCGATGCAAACCGAGAGAGTAATGGGATGGCAACAGCGCCAGCGAGGAACACTGAAACGAATTACGCACCGCTCATGTTACTTAAGCGACCCTACATGAATCCGCCCTCTCGAGCCTGCCCCGAATTGGAAGCAGGAATCCAGGTGGGCCGGCGTACTGTTAGGAGAGCAGCCGACTCAGCGCGGAGCGGGATACCAACGGGATCCGAAATGGCACTGCAACCGCTCGCAGCGGCTGCCCTGTCTTCCCAGCCCCCCTGTATAGAGGGAAGATCTGGGCCTGAAGAAGCACAGGAACAGAAGAAAGAGGAATGATGTATTGTTTTGACTTGCGGCGAGAACATTGGACAAAAAAACACTGGATAAATAATCCAGGATCTGGAAGCCGGTGGAACTCCAATCGTGGATTGGCCGTGGGGATCACCGACGCCCTCATCGGATGAGGAATCCTCCAGGGTCTGAAGCCTCCTGGGCACATTCCTCAAATAATGCCCACACCGTACCGAATTGCGGGCCAAATAGCCAATGGAAACAAAAACCAATGCGTCAGGAGATCGGCGTTTGGCGCGGGATCCGTCTTGGCGCGCCTTGGGGCTCTTGCTCTCTTGAGCTGTCTTGGCACCGTCTGGGGCAACCCTGGGCTCTCTTGGGCCGCTCGGGGCCCCTCCGGGCCGTGATTCTGGACTCTCGAACCTCGAACTTGGATCCTCGAACCTCGATCAAGACCAGAATCCCTTCAGAGGCCGACAATGACGATGTCATCCGTCGTTTGTTCGTTTATTCCTTCGGGCGCTTCGTGTGGTTAAATGCGTGCCTGGCGGCGACCAAGAGGCGCGGGATGGCGGCGAGGCGTCCCCGTCGCCGCCGTCGTCGTCGCCGCCGTCTCCGACATCTTCGTCGTCGACGTCGTCGTCGTCGTCGTCGCCGTCGCCGTCGCCGTCGCCGTCGCCGCCTTCGACATCGTCGTCGTCGCCGTCGTCGTCGCTGTCGTCGTCGCCGTCGTCGTTGTCGTCGCCGCCACCCCCAAGGGCCGGCGGGGCCGCTGAAGCTGGTGGCTCCTCCCAGCCAGGCCATGACTCGGGGATGCGGTCCAGCCAACGCTCGGCGTCGAGCGCGGCGGCACACCCGGAGCCCGCCGCGGTGATGGCCTTTTGGGGTGGGTGGAGGGTGGGGCGGACTGCTTTTCCCATCGGAATGACCTGGAGGGAGGAGGCGGCGTTCGTTCGGACATGGGCTGACGTAACGCCTCAGCTCCCAGCAGCAAGGGCCGCCAAAGGGCGGCAAACATTGGCCACCGGGCCGAGCTGGCAAGAGCAACGCGCGCACCAAATGGCACGACCCAAACACAGCTGGTAGAGGTACCACGGGCATCTTATTCGGAGGTGGGCAAACAACTAGCCGCTGCTCCCTAGCGCCGATGAGACACGGCCTGAAAGCGATCCAGCAGGCAATAGAGGAGGAGGAGGAGGAGGAGGATGAGGAGGAGGAGGAGGAGGAGGAGGAGGATGAGGCGGAGGAGGAGGAGGAGGAGGAGGAGGAGGAGGAGGAGGAGGAGGAGGAGGAGGAGGTGAATCGAGAATCGAGATGTGTGTGTGTGTGTGTGGCATCCGCCTGCGCTGCCCTGAGTGCAACTGTCAGTGGCTCGTCCCCGAGACGTTGCCGCCGCCAGTGCTCTCCGATGACCGTTGCACGTACTGCAGCACAGTGCCACTACACGACGGCCACACCATCTTCCCCGCCCAGAGTCCTCTGTTCTCGGCGCGCACCCGCCCCGCACACGTCTTGGACAGCTCCAGCATGCCTGCCTCACCTCTGGACGCCATCCGCCATAACGGCGTGGAGGGCTGCCCCGTGGGCGCTGAGCCCCGCAGCCACTCGGCCGTGGGGTCCGCCAGCAGCTCGGACATCGCCCCTGTCACCTCCGACCGCCTCATCGACTTCCAATCTCACTGCCACTCTTGCGACACGAATTGGTCTGTTGTTGCTCCCCGCTTGCCCCCGATCTCGGAGGGGATGCGCTGCGGCACCTGCTCGGGAATGGGCCAATAGACCGGCATGGCCCACCTCCTGGCCCCGCAAGCCCAGGCTGGCCAGGCCCCAGGCAGCCTGCCAGCCAATCCCGCCCAGCCTGCGCACCAGCGTACCGCTTTGACGGGCTAGCCTGGTTCCGCGTCGCGGATGATCCCTTCAAGCCCGATAGCAGCAGCGAGGGCAATCACCCCATCGCTCACCCTGGAAAAAGTGGGAATTGGAAATCAAGCGAGGAAGGAATTGGCCAGGGCTGGCAGAACTGGCGAGGGCTGCAGCGAGCCCGAAACGGTTGGGATGACGCCGCCAGGGCCGGAAGAGCTGGCGGGAAGCCGGCCAGGGCTGGAAAGAGAGGAAGGGCTGGCCCCGGCCGCTTGTTCCAGCCTCCCTGTACAGAGAACGTCGGCATGGCCCCCCCTGCTGCTCCTGCACTTGCCGCACACCGCCCCCGCTGCCTGAGGCCGCCTGCGCGCCCCTCTCCCGCCGACCCTCGGCGGTCGGGCCTCTGCCTCCCTCCTTCCGCCGCAGCCGCCGCTCTGCTCTCCCGCCTGCTCCGTGCGCCCCGCCGGACTCGCCCCCCGCGCCCGCGACCGCCGCCGACTGGAAAGCACAGCGCTCGTCCAAGGGCCTCTGGCCTCGAGCCCCGAAGGTCGAGGCCCAAGGAGGAGCGCCCGCGAGGCCGAGCGCGGGGCGCGGCCGCCTGGCGGTACCTGCGGTCCACGACGTCGCCGCACGCGAAGACGCCTGGGACGCTGCACCTGGGGCAGCGCGCGCGGGCGCTCCGGGCTCGAGGCCCCCCCCCCTCGAGGTGCGAGGATCGAAGGCGGGGGGCTCTGGGCAACCCCGAGCTCGAGACTGTTTCGATACTCATGGAGGGCGCACGCTTCAGCAACCATCCTGCTCGACCTGGCCGCCTGGGCCCGCTTTCCCCACCCGCCTGTTAGGGTCTACCAACCCGATCTGCCCGTCTTGTTCTGCCACGTGTTTTCTGCTCCTAGCCCCCCTCCTGCTACTCAATCTCGTGCTCCATCCTCCTCCCTCCCTCCCCCTTGTCCCTTCTTTCCATCCGTCCTTTCTTACCCTGCCTCAGGGGCTGCAAGAAGTACACGTTGCAGGTAAGAAAGATATACCTTCAAGGGGATACAATCGAAGACGAAGAGGGCAGGTATCGAGGATTGGGGATATACATCTTGGATGACGCGCGAGCAGATAAGAGCAAACAGTCTTAAGCTGAGAGTTGTTGTTATTGTTGTCGTCGTCGTCGCTGTCGTCTCGTCGTCGTCGTCGTCGTCGTCGTCGTCGTCGTCATCGTCGTCGTTGTTGTTGTGGTTGTGGTTGTGGTTGTTGTTGTTGCTGCTGTTGTTGTTGTTGTTGCTGCTGCTGCTGTTGTTGCTGTTGCTGATGTTCAGAAATCGCGCTTTCGACGCTCAAGAAACACGCTGCGCCAAGGACGCCGTTACAATTTTCCTTAGTAATCGCGCTCTCGCCATAGTCAGGCATCCCGCTTGAATGTCCCACCCGCCCGACCCGCCCGTCAGGGGATCACCCGCCGCCCGTCGTGGGCTCCCGCCCGAGACTTCCTTCAGGAACGGCGCTTTTGCCTAGGACTTCCTCGAACGTTCACGCTCTAACCTTCCTGCTCCTCCTCCCTCTCCCTCCTCCCTCCTCCCTCCTCTCCTCCCTTCTCTCTCCCTCCTCTCTTCCCTCATCCTTATGCCTCTCTGCCCTATCCCCTCCCCCTCCTCTCCCTCCTCCCTTCCCCCTCCCCTCTCCTGCCTCCTCCCTCACTCTTTCTTTCTTTCTGTCTCTCTCTCTCTCTCCCCTCTCTCTCTTTCTCTACCTCTCTTATCTGTCTTTCTCTCTCTCTCTCTGCCTCTAATCAACCGCCCCCCTCTTAGCTCCTTCTCTCCTGGCGTTTTCCCTCTTCCTTCGTCCCTCCCCCTCCCTTCCTCCCACTCTCCCTCGTTCTTCCCTCCTCTATTTGCAGGGCCCACACCAATTCCAGTGGCGGGCACATGCACGCCCACGAAAGATTGTCCACCCGTTCAGGTTTGCCCGCCTGTCTAAGCCCGCCGCCCCCCGCAAAGAGAAAAAACTTTCCAAAGGGTTTGTGATCGAAGACGAAAAGGGCGGGTATCGAGGGCGTGGGGAACTCGTTTTGAATGACACACGGGCAAGTAATCACGAAATATATCAGAATGATTGTTGAACATTATTTATTCTAAAGAATAATTATTGTTGGGCCCCCTGGTGCGCGCCCCCCCTGTGCCGCCTAGGCCGCAGCTACATTTTCATCATTTTCGTGAGGAAGCCTGAGAAAAGAAGGTGTGTACAGGATCCGGTTGTTTTGTTGTAATCCGCTTTCCCTTGCAAAAAAAAACAATAGAAAATGACATTTCTTGTTCTAATATAATCAAATTTCAAGAATCCCTTGCAAAAAATAAGGTAAAGTGGACATTCGCGCGCGCAAGACGAAATCCTTCCAAAACCTTAGTGTTCGCAGCGATTTTAACATAAAAACATCAAAAAACCAATGGTTTTTCAACAAAAAAATGTCAAAATCTCATCCCGCGCGCTCTTGCGGATTCGTAGGAAACCCAACACTTTTTAAACATTTCTGTCAAACGGGCTTTTGCGAGCAACTTTTTCGAACTTCTGCGACAACGGTTGCGCACCTGCCAGGGCCATCATCCCTGTCAAATAATACCATGCGGGACACATTCGTTTTTCTCGGAATTCCCACATCCCTCAGGAATTTGCCCGAAATATGTGATCAACTATCTTGTGAGTACGTATCATGTGTATCATGTGTATCATGTACCATATGCATCATATGCAACAGATGTTCTGTGGAAGGCTTAACAACTTCTGTGGGTTAACAAGGCTTAACAACTTCTGTGGGTGTACGAACGTAGGCTTAACAACTTCTGTGGGTGTGTACTCCACGCCAGTGTAGTAGCCACGGTCGTCCGCAGGCCACGAAGTGAAGTGTCCGAACGTCATAGGGCGGGAAGCTGGGTGTGGGTGGTGGCGAAGAGTCGTGTGGATATTTGGTAGAGCTTGCACTGCCCCCCCACAAAGTGGGGGTATTGGCTGGCGTCGCATGAAAACCCTGGCACTGGTGAGAACACTGAGCGTTCGGGTAAAGTGATTGTTGTTGTTGTTGTTGTTGTTGTTGTTGTTGTTGTTGTTGAACATTATTTCTTCTTAAGAATAATTATTGTTGGGGCCCCTGGTGCATGGCCCCCCCGCCGCGCCTAGGCCGCAGCCTCATTTTCATAATTTTCGTGAGGAAGTCTCAGGCAAAACGATGTGTACCAGATCCGGTTGTGTTGTTACGATCGGTTTTCCCTTGCAAAAAATAAGCTAAAGTGGACATTTCTTGTTCTAACATAACCAAACTTCAAGAATCCCTTGCAAAAAATAAGGTAAAGTGGACATTCGCGCGCGCAAGACGAAATCCTTCCAAAACCTTAGTTTTCGTAGCGATTTTAACATAAAAACATCAAAAAACCAATGGTTTTTCAAACAAAAATTGTCAAAATTTCATCCCGCGCGCTCTTGCGGATTCGTAGGAAACCCAACACTTTTTAAACATTTCTGTCAAACGGGCTTTTGCGAGCAACTTTTTCGAACTTCTGCAACAACGGTTGCGCACCTGCCAGGGCCATCATCCCTGTCAAATAATACCATGCGGGACACATTCGTTTTTTCTTCGCGCGCGCACGCCGTCGTCGTCGGCCGCGGGGCCCTGAATAGTAGCCACGGTCGTCCGCATGCCACGAAGTGAAGTGTCCGAACGTCATAGGGCGGGAAGCTGGGTGTGGGTGGTGGCGAAGAGTCGTTTGGAAATTTGGTAGAGCTTGAACCGGCCCCCCCACAAAGTGGGGGTATTGCCCGCCTCCTATGAAAACCCTGGCACTGGTGAGAACGGAGTGTCCCCACGTGCTAGTAATTGTTGTTGTTGTTGTTGTTGTTGTTGTTGTTGTTGTTGTTGTTGTTGTTGTCGTTCTGGTCCTCTCCCCGGTGCACCTCGTGTTTCTTCAATCAAGGTGCCCCTCCCAGGGCTCGTTCATGTCAAAACCAAATGTTGAGGCTCAGATTGTGTTGCTGGCCCCCAATTTACAACAACAGCGGCTCCCGCCTGAGACGTCCTCGCAATGTGTTCAAGGCCGCGCTCTCGCGCGGGACTTCCTCACAACTTCTGCATGCATTGCGCTCCCGCCCGGTATTTCCATGCATTGTGGCGCCGCGCCCTCGACACTCAGCGGCCGCGCTCTCGCCGTGGATTTCCTTATGATTTCATTCGGTATCGCGCTATTGCTCGAGACTGCTCCACCCTTCTCTCGTCTCGTGGTCCATTCCCTCCTTCCTTCACCTGTTTTAGGCGCTGCGCCAACTACACGTGGCAGGTAAGGAAGATATACCCGCAAGAGGGGTATAATCAAAGACGACGAAGGCGGGTACCGAGGGCTTGGGATATACACGTAGATTGGCACACAAGCAGATAAGAACGACCAACCTTCAAATCATTGTTGTTGTTGCGGCTGCTTTTTTATTTTTATCTTATCTTCTGTTAAAAGCAGCGGAAGGCACCAAGGCAGCCGAAGCTGAGCTCACACACTAGCCGATCCTACGGCTCCCTCACCGTGCCCGTGAGGTGGACCCCGAGGTCCTGTGCCGAGTATGCTGGACAGGCAGCGCCGGGGGCAAACATTTACACTGAGAGCCAAGCGCACAAGCCAGAGCAAGCTACGACGGGGACGAGCCTAAAATCGAGGATAGGCCCGCACACCCAAAATTGGGAATGCGGCCCGCAAAGGCGGTGACAGAAGAGGAGGACGAGGAGGGAGGGGGAGGAAGCAAGCTCGCGAATGCGTAGACCAGCCAGGGCATAGCCTGGGGTACTCGCACAATTGTCCCACACGAGCGGCTAAAACAGGGCTACGATAGGGATAAATCGCTCCAGAGCGTTCCAAAGCGCTCTCAGAGCGTTCCGGCACGCTCTGGAGAGGCCGCGGCGCCCAATACATCCTCCAAACCCGCCGATTCTCAGAGATTTCGAATTATCCCGATCCGATTTTGTCCCGATCTTCGCGTCGTTTTAGCGGCGGGGGAGGAGGGGGAGGAGCAGAGACACAGGGCCGGCTATGCGGCACAGCGGTTCGCCACGCGGTGGCAAACGAATCACATTGAGGCTCGCGACGTGCAGCGTCGGTGCAGAAGCTGTTTAGGGCCCGCGGGCGGCCGCGCGGCCTCCCGCAGACCCTGCGGGAGGGCATCGGAAGTCGACGAAGGCGATGGAGTTGCGGAGGACGAGGACGTGTGTGTGTGTGTGTCGCTCGTACTCCAGGAGGGTCCACACGGGCGCCGCAGAGACCTACGGAGCCTCCCGAGTCCTTGTGAGCTCGACGAGAGCGAATGCAGCACGCCGAATTTCTTAAAGATGGCCGTCCCACTCCTTATCAGCGGGCGGCGGAACAAGAACACGGGCAGTGTTATAGATATGATATGCCGTCACCATCGCCTCGACACTCAGCATGTGTGTGTGTGTGTGTTTGTGTGTTAGCTGGCCGAATTCGCTGGTAATGGTAACTGCTAGCCTCCCCACTGAGAATGACACCAGATGCCTCAAGAAATAGGGGGCCCGTCCAGAGGAGCGGAAACCGAAGGGCACGCCTGGCAGTCTGTCTTTCGATCCGCAAAGACAAATCGCTTCAGCTGGACGTCCCGGCGACCGTCGCAATACTCGAAGCGGCCCCAGTAGGCAAATATGGAAAGACTTCCGAGGCGTCGTCCAGCAAACGCGCGAAACTTCAACACTTCTGATCACATAGCCGCATCACTATTATCGCATGTGTTCTTGCTGTGCCAACTCGCAATACATTTCGAATCCTGCCACGTGGCGCGGAGTCGAGTACGCGTGGCAACGCAACTAGATTCATGCTTGCCGAGCGATGTGTGGCAACCGTGCGTACGATCGCGTGCGTCCGCTTTTGCTCCACATCCGTGGGCCTGGGGACCAATCGAGCGAAACGATGCGAAGGCCCGTGGACCGCCCCCCGCAGACCTGTCCACCTGCCCACCCTCGGCACCCCTCACCCAGCGCCTCCCCGCACCGCGGTGGCGGGTGCGCGCAACAACGCAGCTCGACAGTTGACGCTGGAAAACGCAGTGCCGCGCGCGAGACGTCTGCGCCGACAGGCCTTAGAGAATGGGGCGGGACGCGCGCGGGAGCGTCACGCGGTGAGAACACATCGCGCCAGACGAGGGCAAGAGATCACTGCGCGAAGTTGGTGCGGTGTTGCTCGATCGCGTTTTTTTTTGCGTGATACCTTCGTCTGCGTTCTTGCGTGGTGCTGTGGCGTTGCGTTCTCGCCTACTTCTTTCGGTCGTGATATCGCGTGCCCGTCCAGTGTGTTGCTGTCGCTTGCCGTCCGCGCGTCGCAGCTTCGCGAGTAGATTCCTCGCGATGCGTGTGCGGGCCGCAGCAACGTGACCCCGTGAGCGAGATGTGGATCTCTGCGTGGCAGGCGTGCGCGCCGCGTGAGAGGACTGCGCAAGGACAGTGCGCAAGAAACAACGGCGCCATGCGCGAGAACGAGGCGGCACGCGCGCGCGTCGAACGTCTTTTTATGGTTTGTTCTCCCTTCGTTTTTTGCTGTATATATATATACATATATATATATATATATATATATAGATTCCTGCAGTTTTTTGTTTGTTCGTTTGTTTTTGCTGTATGATCTCCCCCTTCTTTTTCTCTTTCGATGTATCTATCATTTCTGTATATATATACAGATATGATTGCTCTTTTTCTTCTGCGCAGTCTTCTTGCGCAATGCCTTCGCGCAGTGGCATTGCGCAATGTTGCTGTGCCGTGCCTGTGGTCGTAGACTCGTGGGCAGATCTGGCGTGCTTGTCTCCTGTGTTGCCCACTCGCCAATCTGTCGCGAACGTGCTTGGCGCGAATCGGGCGTTCAACATGTGCGCGCGGCACCGTGTGCCAACGTTCTTGCGCCACGAACGCGATAGCATCGAGCGACGCACAATCACTACGGGAGAATAATACGCAGAATCGCTACGCCGACACTCTGCGCGAATGCGCTACGCCACTCCGCCACACCCGCAGATGCACTGAGGCGGACGCCAAGCTGCGCCCCGCCGAATCTGTGCCAAAACGACACCACGCAAGAACACTACGCAACGCGCTGCGCAACCATATGGCTTTCTAAAGGACAATCCGTCAGCACGCTGCGCTAGCATAGTAAGCTCATGCACTATGCCAGTACGCCACGCTCATGCACGACGAAACAAAATCAAACCCACACTGCGAGACATAATGGACCAACACAAACACATTGCTAGCACACTATGCTCGCAATTCGCGCTAGTGCTTTACACAACAACCCGCCCTGGTGCCCTACGCTACGACGCTACGCCACAACACTGCGCGAGAGACTGCAGTACGCTAGTACGCTTCGGCAGTGGTCCTATACGTTTATCCAACTTTTACGCGCAGACACCACATAACTATTGAGCTACTTATGGTGTTCAACGCTCGGACGCTTTGTAAGCAGAAACACAATGTGGACAAGTATACTCAATAAAACTTCGACGAAGAACACGCCGCGTCAATACATTATTCTAGTGCCGCTTGCTAGTAGTCTGCTCCGGTGCTGCGGGAGAGGAGGCATCACGAAAACATGTGACACAAGCACGTCGCAACATATAGTGTGAATCAGCAGACACGCTCTGAGCAAGCCCGCACCGCAGACGCAACGCGCTGAATCGTACAATGCACACTTGCTACACGCTGGCACTCTACGCGAGAAATCCGTGTCAGCAACTAGAACTCGCACTCCGCACTAGAACCCAATGGTCGTGCACAACGCGGAGAAAACACAACACGCGAAGGCACTGCGCAAACGTACTCTGTCAGAAGCCTTCATGGCAACCCTTATTCGCCAACGCATAATTCAATTACACCGCCGGTCCAACCGCAGATTTGTGCGTATGGTGTCGTATGTATGTTTGAGTGGCGGGCCCAAGAACCCCTTGGTCCAAAACAAGGGGCACCTCTTGGGAGGGCAACTTTAACGTCCGCCGGCCTTCCGCCAACTTCCGCCAGCGGAGCCGCCTTCGACTTGCTCCCGCCCGCCTCCAGCGAGTGTGAGATGCCAGCTCCTTGGCCCCCTCGAGGGCGAGGGCCCTTTCTGGAAGGCGCCACCTGGCTCAGGCCCTGCCGGGAAGAGCTAAGCCCTGCACTGGGTGCTGAACCCGGGCTGCGCGTGGACAATGTACTCGTCCTCCGCGGGCCGCCGCCGCACTCGGAGTCAGTCCAGGGTCGGGAGAGGTGCAGTCCTCGTGCGACCAGAAGGAGCGCCGAAGAGGGAACGAAAGGGCTTCTCTGGCCACATCGAGCCCATGCCACGACTTGGTTCTCAAACCTAACTCTGCGGAGCAGCTCGGAAGCCAGAGTCCCTCCTGAGCCCCAGATGGTGCCACTTCTGCATTGATTGTGACGCCACACCGAGTCTGCCGCGCGCAGCCCTCAGACGACCTGTCTTCGATGATGACCTGGTCGTGTGAAGCCTGTAAAGTCTTCTGTCCAGATTCCCTGAACCGTGACTGCATTCCGGCCGCGGCCAGGTCCCTCTCCATAGGGAGGGGGAAAGAAACTGAAGAGGGAAGGAAGGGAGGACAGAAGAGGGAGGGAGGCTAGACCAATCCGTCCCGTCCTGGGCACATTCCCATCGTCGCTCTGTTCGAGTTCCAGGCTCACTCTATCGATAGGTGCACAATTATGACACTCCTCCTCCTCCTTCTCCTCATCCACCTCCTCCTTCTCCTTCTCCTGTTCCTGCTCCTTCTTATGATTGTGTTCCTCCTCCGCTTCCCACTGCTTCTCCCCTCTTCCTACTTCTCCTCTTCCCCTCCTCCCTATGCTCCTCCTCCTCCTCCTCCTTCTCCTCCTCCTCCTCCTCCTCTTCCTCCTCCTCCTCCTCTTTCTCCTCTTCCTCCTCCTCCTTCTCCCCCTCCTCCTACCCCTCCCCTTCCATTATTCCTCCTCCTCCTCCTTCTCCTCCTCCCTCCCCTCCTGCTCCTCTGGACCCTGCGGTGGGCTGGGCGGGTGCCCAAGCATGACAACTCGCCCTTAAGGGACGATGAGGAGGGCGAGGGGGGATGAGGATGAGGATGAGGATGATGACGAGTAGGAGGAAGGCGAGAAAGAGGAAGAACAACACATGGACCATACTAAACCCATGATCCGTTCACGACGCTGCAGTACACACTCCCGTCCCAAGTCTCCTCCTCGTACAGGCCTTCCTTTGCATTGCAAGACGCCCCCCCGTGAAAGACGAGAGCCCTACGGGCTTGCCATTCAGGCCGGAGCCCCGCTTTGAAAAGGAGCTGCCTCGCACCCTCGAGCGAATGGCAAATAACGCGAAACATGAACATCACAAAGTTCAGCGAGGTGTCAAGCGAGAGCCCCGCTTTGAGAAGGCGCCGCCCCCCCCATTCGTGTAAGCGTTGCACGAGATTACACATCTGGCGACTGTAACTGAGGAGTTCTCGGAAGCGATAGCCCCAGTTTGAAAAGGCGCCACCACCGATTCCTGCCGCTGTTCTTACATGCTCAACTTTTTCTGCCGTCATTATTGCTGTCATTTTCGCTTTCCTATGATTTCTGAGAGATCTGAAGCGAGAGTCCCAATTTGAAAAGGATCCGTCCTCGATCCTCGTAGCTTTTGGACGCGTCTAAGACGAATCTGGGCGGCGCTCAGGCGAGAGCCGCATCTTGAAAGCGTGCCAGCCTCTATACTCGTAACAGCTGGAAGGTTTTGAGACGAAAGTGCGCGGCGCCGAGGCGAGAACCGCATTGTGAAGGCGACCCATCCATCCAGTAACCGTTGGACACTTTGAAGACGAATGTGTGCGGCGAAAGACTGAGAACGGCGTTTTGATACCGAGCCAGCCTCCATTCTCTCTGTTGGAGATCCTTGAGCCGAACGTGCGCGGCGCTGCGGCGAGGGCCGCACTTCGAGAGCGACCGTCCCCCTGTCCTGTGAGGCTGCTGGGCTCCGCTCGGCTTCCGGGTACAGGTTCGGCCCAGAAGCGGCGCCCAGAACTTTCTCGTTCCTCGCCCCTCCCTTCTCCTCGACGCTCGACCCTCGATCTCCCAAACTGGCCGTTCGGTCCCCCCCCCTGCCCCCTTGGGAGGCGCAGCCGCGCCGCGCGTGTCGCGGCGGCGCCTCGTCCAGCATCAGCTGCCCCCTGAAGAGGCGCGACTGCGATTCGTGGCCGATGGCCACGAATGCCGCCGCGCAGGGCATGATCTGCGTCTGGCCAGGGGCGCCGGGGGCGGGAGGAGGAGGAGGAGGAGGAGGAGGAGGAGGAGGAGGAGGAGAAGGAGGAGGAGGAGGAGGAGGAGGAGGAGGAGGAGGAGGAGGAGGAGGAGGAGGGGGAGGAGGAGGAGGGGGGGAGGAGGAGGCGGGGGAGGAGGAGGAGGTGGGGAGGACGAGGAGGGGGAGGAGGAGGTGGAGGCGGGGGAGGAGGAGGAGGCGGGGGAGGCGGGGGAGGAGGAGGTGGATGTTCGAGGGGAGGCTCGATTCTTGGCTTTCTTCGGACTTCCCCCAACAGGCCGTGGCTGGGAAGACCCTGTGCCCACCGACCAGGGCCGATCGCCCCCCGCCGATCGGCGGCCGGCCCGCCACCAAGACGGCGAGAGAGACTCGCCGCCGATCGCCGGGGGCGCTCGGAGGGGAGGCTCGATTCGATCAAGCCGATCGCGATCAAGCTTCAGCCTTGGGGCGCCACGTGGGGCCCGGGCCACACACGAGCAGAACAAAGCCAAGCGTGCAGGTCGGGAGCAGTTCGACCGCCTCCTCCTCACCGCCCTCTCTGAGGGGAGGAGGCAGGAGGATTCTAGGATTCCAGGCTGGCCTAGCTCGCACTCGCACCGACAGGGCGCGAGGAAGCTGCAGCCACCGGCATGGCGGCGACGACGAACGGCGACGGCGAGGACGACAGACGAACGAGCGCAGAGGAGGGAGGAGGAGGAGGAGGAGGAGGAGGAGAGTGATGATGATACTGATGATGGTGATGAAAAGGACGATGATGATGCTGCTGCTGATGATGCTGCTGATGATGGTGATGCTGCTGCTGATGATGCTGATGATGATGGTGATGATGCTGCTGCTGATGGTGATGCTGCTGCTGCTGCTGCTGATGATGATGATGATGATGATGATGGTGGTGAAGATACTGATGCTGCTGATGATGATGATGAGGAGGATGAGGAGGAGGATGAGGAGGAGTTCGAGGAGGAGGAGGGAGAGGAGGAGGAGGAGGAGGAGGGGGAGGAGAAAGAGGAACGATCAGGAGGAGTAGGGTGAGGAGGAGGAGGAGGAGGATGAGGAGGAGGAGGAGGAGGAGCAAGAACGAGGAGCGACACTGGCCAGCAAGGGAAGGGCGGAGAAGAGAAGGACAAGAAGGTCCGAGGGTACATACGAAGAGCAGCGCGACAATAGAGAAGGGGAAACACCGCTGCCCCTCACGAAGGCTACCTCCTCATACACGCAGGTGTGAATCGACGAATAACTGTCCGAATTTACGGCCTGGGCAAACAACAAAATATCAACGTGGGCGGACAGATCCTGCCCCCAATGCCAGAGCCGCCATATTGCTGCCCTAGCCCGTGGGTCCCTTTGTGCGAGTTGTTGGAGGTGAGTCCGTGCAAGCCCCAGCAGCCGGTCGTGGGTAAAATGTCGATGGCGGATGTCATGGTAGGTCTTACACGCGACATCTTATAAGAGTGCAGTGTGGGAGGGCCTCCATGGGCAGGCCAGGCTGAAAGCGCGTCAGAAACTGAAGCGGCACGGACTTGGGTCGGGAGGGTGTATTGCAACATCGTTGATGCATCCTGGGTTTACTCAATTTCTCCTCCTCCTCCTCATCCTCCATCTCTTCCTCCTTCTCCTCCTTCTCCTCCTTCTTCTCCTCAACCCCCCCAGCCGCTGCTCATCCCCCTCTGCTACTCTTTCTGCTCATGCCCCTGCTTCTGCTGCTCCTGCTGTCCACCCTCCTCCTCCTCCTCCTCCTCCTCCTCCTCCTCCTCCTCCTCCCGAAACCCTCGTGGGGGGAGCCTCGCCGGTCTTCAAGTTGAGTACTTCTGCGCCCGTCAGTCCCTTGTCGTCGCCTTGGATGGGGGGGGG